AGGCGGGTCTCAAACCCACGGGCTCAGGCAATCCACTCACCTCAGCCTCCCAAAGGTGGGGGATTATAGGCTAAGCCGCTGAGCATGACTAGAGGCCATGATTTTATTCTTCTTTGTGGCAGTGTAATATTCTATCATGTATATGTACCACATTTTCCTTATCCAGTCCACTTTTGATGGGCAGCAGTGTTGGTTCCATGTGTTTGCTATTGTGACTAGTGTAGCAATAAACATGCATGTGCAGGTTTCTTTTTGGTAGAGTGATTTATGTTTTGCCATGTATATTCCCAGGAGAGGGATAAATATGCATGTCCATTTCTATAGCAGAACTTTTGAACACCATTCAAGCAAGTTTTTGGAAGAGACATGTAAGGGGGCTTTTCCTGACCTTACTCAGGAACCTTTGCCCTGTAGCCTGGCAACCTGGGTCTGACCCTGGCCTGCTCTAGGAGGGGCAGGCAGCCTTGACCACAGAGTCCCTGCATTGCTCACCAAGTGAGGAAATGGCAGGTCAGGAGTCAGCTGTTCTGTGAAACCAGAGACAGACACTTTGGCTTCTGTTGTCAGTGTTGGAAAGATTTGGAACATCTTTTTTTTTTGAGGTCTCTTCTGCTCTGGGACAGGGAATTTGCTTGGAAGCCTGACCTGGGTCCCTGTTTTAGTGAGAAAGGGACAGAAGGGGAGGCAGGGGACTTAGGTCTGCCCAGGCATGTTTTAGGACTTGGGGTACTTCAGAGTGTCCCTGAAGCTCAAGGATATGTGAAATCTGCACAGCCACAATAGTATTTATCTCAAAAACAAAACACAGCATACCTTAGCCCCAGAAGACCCCTGGTGGAGGAGGCTGCCCTTCTAGAGTCAATCAAGTTCCATCAACTGGGCAGTAAATGCTGCCAGACATATACCCTCTCAATTCACACACACAAGAATTGTGTAGTATATCATTATCCCTATTTTACAGTTGAGAAAATGAAAACTCTGAGAGGTGAAGTAGCTTACCCAAGGTCACGCCACTGGTTAGCAGGACTAGTATTTTAGTCTGTCTCCAAAGTCCACTCAATCTCTTATCCAATAACCCTACTATCCTTCTGCTCCAAGGACCTGCCTTCTGCTATCACTGAACACTACCTGTTAGCCCCCAACTTGTTCCCTGCTGACCCTAGAGAAAAATCTCAAATCCAGTCTTCTTATTGTTCTTAACCTTTCTGTGCTGCAAATCCTTTTGGTCTGGTAAAGTCTCTGGACTCCTTCTCAGAATCATATTTGCAAATGTACCAAAGAATACATAGGAAAACAATGATTGACCTGTGTTTAACACATTTAAAAGCAACCTCACCATATATACTTCTTTATTAACATGCTAAATGATAAGATCTACTTGAAATCTAATAACTATCATATTTCTGAGGTAGTGATGAGCATCAACAATATTTCAGGACAACAACCCTGATGTGACATGAAAATGTGTGTGTTTCTCCTATTGGTGTCAAAGATACCAGTATTGATAACACTAATGTAGTTTGTTGACTATGTTTGTAATGAAAGGGAATGTTATATTTCAGTAGTGGAATAAAGGCAAAGTTGTTTATTTTCCTACCCGAGTACATAATGTCTGAATTCTACCCATGAACTCAGAGTTTAGAATTCCTGTGGTGTGGTTTGCTCATGTCTTAAAAAGAAGTGTGTGTGGGGGGTGTACATGCACATACATGTGAGTTGAGGGGTAGGGAGAGAGGGAGAGGACATTAAAAACAAAACAGAAAGAACAAAGAGGATCATGGGAAGAAGGCAGCCCAGGAATATTTTGATACTGAGTCAGTGGTGAAAACGCTGCTCAAGCTTGACCCAGCTGCCCCTGAAAATGTTCTGGGTGTGGGACAGGGGAGAAAAACAGTCCTTTTAAGTTGCGGGATATTAATTTAAAATATCTTTGCAGGGCTAAGTGCCTCAGCCTTTGACTTATTTGGTGGTTTGGGAAGGGAATTAGGAGGGTGATGGCTGTGAGTTAGTAAGGGCTGTGAGTGCAGTTCCACATCTAAACAAGGGTGTGAGGAAGTAGTTGCTGCCTGAGCCAAGTCTTAGCCTCCTTTCTGGTGGGAGGCTTGTCGGCGGAGGCCTCTCCTTCCAGATCTGGGAAGCTCTTGGCAATCAGAGGAGCCTGGTGATGGCTCAGCTTCTATTTTTGTAAAAGGGGTAGGCACAGTCTCCCTTCTGGCTCTGAGAGGTGACAGTTTGTTCCCCAGGGAACACGGGTTGGTGTTTCTCACTTACCAGCCGGCCTTGGGGAATAAAGCCACCCCTCACCACTTCCCCTGGCCCCTGTGATGACCCCCCGAGTTCCCCATCTTGGAGGTGGTGGTGAGGGAGCCATGCTGTCTCCCAATTAAATGACTAGAGAGGAGGGACTTTGATCCACAGACAAGTCACAAAGCAGGTCACTCATTCATTTAATAATGAATGTTGAGCAGCTGTCATGAGTCCCAAAAAGGGAACTTGGATAGGACAGGCCAGAACTTCTGCTGACCATCTAAGAAAGTAGGTGAACACATAAATGCCTATCCATCTATTTATTTATTTAAACAGATTTATTGATGTTTAATTTATATATAAACTGCACCTATTTGACATTTACAATCTTATGAGTTTGGATGTGTGCATACAACTGTGAAACCATCACCACAATCAAGGTATTAGACATATCCACACCTCCAAAAGTCTCCTTGTTTTCTTTTGCATAAACTCTTATTTATTAAATGTCTGCTGTGTGCCCTGCACTATCCTAGGCACAGCCTCTGTGCTTGGAGAGTTTTCAGAGAAGAGGAAACATTGCAGATCAGGAGTGAAAGGAAAGCCTTACCAGCAATCTGTGGAAGCACAAGGCAATTCAGAGATTATTCAAGCAAGGCACAATGGTAGAAGATGAACCACTGCTGCCTCGGCTTAGTGCCCTCTGGTCTGTAACTAATGGGCCTGTCTTCCACTGTGTTCACAGAATATAGACCGGGTCACTCCTCATTAGCCTGGTGCAGATTACGGCTCTCTATGCAGCCCTGTGTCACAACTGGCCACCCCGCCAGCTGTAGCGGACCCTTTGTGACAACAGTGTGTGCCCTGCAAATATGTACTATTACCAAAGAGGAAGAGATGGGTCTCTTCTCTACTGGGGCCCATATGTGGTGTTAAAGGTCATTAAGTAGACTATTGTAGATGT